ATGACGTAGGCAAAGTGATTTGGCTCGTGTAACCGGAAAATCCAGAGTCTCAGACCTAGCCCGGTGCAGGCGCTCGAGTCAGGTTGTCAGGCGCCTGACCCGCTAACTCCCAACTCTGCTTTGCCACCTAGAGCTGTTAATTGGCTTGTTGCCCCTGCCCTCCGCAAACACACAGACATGGTAACCTTAGCATCTAAAGCATGTCCTAATTGATCTCCATTCATTGTTGAGTCTGGGGCTTTCAGACACTCCAGACTAGAAAACAGAGCAGCTTTGGCAGACCACCTAGCAGGCTTTCGACCTCTTGCCACAGGCCAAGCCAGTGCTACTTGGTAAGGGACTTGCACATGCTGCCTTCAGGTCCTGTGACATCAGCTCCTTCATCGAGTCTTAACCGTGTGCCAGGCGCTGGGTCAGATGATGCACATGTGTTGTCGCCAGCCCTTTGCCACATCCCTGGTCACCTGCGCTTTACCTATTAAAGGAAACGGGCACAGAGAAGCCACGTGGCTGAGCCAGGTTGTGTGCCTGCCAGAGGCCACCATTCAGAACCCGGTTTCGGTTTCGCCTGTAGCTAGTCTGTGCTCTAGATAGCACCTTATGGTTGAGAACCAAGGAGAGAACTCGGCTTTTTCTTTTGTAGATTTCTTCTTTCTCTGGTTTAGCTATAGGTGTTTGTAAGTCCTATTTTTAAACTTTGAACCCTCACATTTGTTTATTAATTGGCTACCATGTTAAAAATGAAAACAGTAATACATGTACTTGCTAAAAAAATTTTAAGTGGTAGGTAATCCTCTCAGTTGTCAGCTCTGATCCATCCTTGAAGGAGGTAAAATTCATACATGTAAGGATCCGTCCCAGGAACTGAGGGTCAGTCATTCTCACTTCAAGTCCTTAAGGCTGAGAGCTTAACTCAATGGGGACTTCGCAGCTGGAGGGAACCAGCCCCGGGGAAGCACCTGGCGAACATTCAGACTCCAGCCCCGTGGCTCCAGTCCAGAGTTTTTCTTGAGCTCTTGCTGGTTATCCGTCACTTGCTTGGGTATCCCGCAAACAAATCCAACACAGTCCCCCTGAAATTCTCTCGCCCTTCAATCTGATCCTCCTCCATTCCCTATTTCAGACAGCAGCTCGGGCAGCACCCAAGCCATACACGGGAGATCCTAGGCTCGCTGCCTTTTTCATCTGACCAAGTGCTGCCATTTTTATTCCCAGAATATCTTTCCAGTCCATCCCTTGTCATCCCAACCCCAAAATCCACGTTTTTCTCATGGGCTTTTCCATGCCCTCAGCCCACTCTTTGCATAGCTATCAGGGTCTGAGGCCAAGTATATCTGACTGTCTCCCCTGCAGAAGATCCTGTCGGCACCTGCTGCTGACGTGTTCTTTAATCAAACTGAAGCCCTCCTTTGTGACCTGATCCCAGCCACAGGGAGTCACAGGCGACTCTGCCCATGAGTTCATGCTGTAGCAGTGCCCAGACTGAGCGAACTGACGACCCACCTCCTGTCTTGATGTACGCTGCTCTCCTGCCTGCCTGGCTAGCTCCTACAGAACCTTAGGAACTCTGCTCAGGCCTCACTGCCTGCTGGTGGCTCTCCCACACATCAGCGCCTCTGCTCAGTTTTCACGTACTTTTATTTTTTTTAATTAAAAAAATTTTTTAAGATTTTATTAGAGCACGCACCAAGAGCGTGTGCGCACAAGCAAGGGGGAGCAGGAGAGGGAGAAGCAGGCTTCCCGCTGAGCAGGGAGCCCGATGTGGGGCTCGATCCCAGGACCTCGGGATCATGACCTGAGCCGAAGGCAGATGCTTAAAGACTGAGCCACCCAGGTGCCCCTGTATAATTTTTTTTGAAGATTTATTTATTTTAGAGAGAGAGTTCAGTGGGGAAGGGCAGAGGGAGAAGAGAGAGAATGTCAAGCATACTCCCTGCTGAGCATAGAACCCCATCTGGGGCTTGACCCCAGGACCCTGAGATCATGACCTGAGCCAAAATCAAAGGTCAGCTGCTTAACCAACTGAGCCACCCAGGCGCCCCGTTATTTAAGAGTACTGATTAACAAAAATAAGCCAGTGTATTTCTACCATATCATGGCATTCATTACTAACATTTGGTGTGTGTTTTATAGAAATGGGATCATGCTATTTATAATGTTTTTATTTAAAACACTCATCTTTCCACGTCACTGTGTAAAATCTCATATGGTTGGCTACCCACCTATATGCCATCAGTATACTCTTTGTCACATGTACCATGAAGCTTATCCCTTTTTAGTCTGACAGCTTTCAAACCAAACGGAACAGTTCAGTGAAGAGACATATGCACGCACGTGCCTGTCACCTGGCTGCCAGCTGTTAACATTGTGCTGTTTTCACTGTTCTTTTTTCTTTTGCTGAACCATCTGAAAGTTAAGTTAGCTGGAGACATCTTGATGCTTTACTCCAAAATGTCAGGGTGTCTCTATCCTGAGAATAAGGTCTGCTCCATAATGCTGTTATTAGACCTGAGAAATCCAACTTATATCACCTACATACAGTCCAGTTCTCAAAACATTCTTTTCCCCCAGTCCTTTCACATACCATGAAGTTGACATATCTCTGGTCCCTTTTAATTTAGAATAGTTGCCCTGTCCTTTTTTCCCCATGGCACAGATGTTTTTAAAGTCCCACCTTCTGGATTCATTTCCTCATGATCAGATTCAGGTTAAATGATTCCAGCCAAACCTGGAGGTGACGTCCGTCTTGGCCCATCAGATCGGGAGCAGCGGTGCTTGTTGCATTCCTGCTGAAGCTGAGTAGGATGCATCACCCGGATTTTAAGTCTCCCTTACACACGGTGAGCTCTCAGCGGAGATGTGTGCTCAGGCCCTGCCTGGTGGTGTGCCCAGTCCATGGTGGGCATGGAATGGTTTCACGGAGTGAATGAGTGCGCTTGCTGTTGAGGGGACACAGAAGAGCCAAGAGTGATGTGGCAAAACTGGAGACGGGACAGGAAGCCGGTCATGACTGGCCTCATAGCCACCGTGGCACCAAGGAAACAGCCTACCACAGATCCTCAAAGGCATTTGTAGGAGGCCATTAAACCAAATGCACAGGAGCACCTGGGTGGCTCAGTCAGTTTAGCGTCTGCCTTCGGCTCAGGTCATGATCCCAGGGTCCTGGGATCGAGCCCTGTGTTGGGTCCTGCGCTCAGTGCAGAGTCTGCTTCTCCCTCTCCCCCCATTTGTGCTCGCTCTCAAATAAAATCATACCAAAAAATAAAAAATGCACACAATCTCATTTATTCTGTTGTAATTCACACACCCTTTGGAATGCTACATTGGGCCAGTTCACGGCCTACCTGTGGTGGCACACGAGTCTGTCAAAGATTTTTCCAGCAAGTTCTTAGAGTAGAAAGATCTTTGCAGTTGCTTAACATCCAGGTCCTAAAGTAGCATCACCAGCCAATTATCTGTGCGTACTCAGTGACTTTTTCCCTTACTCTGGCTCCTTTGAGACTTCCCACAGCTGCAGGATGTGAACGGGTCCCTCTGCAGGTGTGTGGTTAAGACGGCAGCCAAGTGGTCAGTTCAGCGCGAGCACCCCTGAGCTGTGGGACCTTCAGCGGAAACCACCACAGGGGCATTTTTTGGCAAAATGTGCAGCTGCCAAGGGGTTGTAGAACCAGAAGACCAGTTGACCACAGATGTTAAACTGTGGTCCATCCCCATGTAAGGAGCCAAGGCCTGTTTTGTCCCCTCGCGGCTCTCCAGCGCCCAGGAGGCACTCAGGCTATTTGCGGATTAGATGCTGCTGTCCGAGAGTAAGGGTGCTCCTTACGCGCCAATCTGGCATCTTCCAAGAACTTGTAAAGTATTAAAACATCTATATAAGGTGCTTCCTGTTGCTGGAAAAGGAGGCATGTCTGTCTCCTGTGCCTGGAGCAACACAGCAGGAACTGGCAGCGTTGGGTGACCCCAGGACAGACCCCAGGCCTGGCGGAAGCAGTCAAGCCCTTCCACCGCCTCCCCCCTCAGCCCCGGGAGTCTCTGCCAGCTGAGGGCCCCTCACAGTCCCTGCGCTTCTGTGTCACTACTTCCTATGTACCATAAGCCCTGGACTCCCTCCCTCCTACAAACCGGAAGTTTCGGTAAAAGCAGAGCAACTATCTCGAACGAAGTCTCATCGGGAGCAGGTAACTGCCTGCTTCAGCCCTCACACACGATCTCACACGGTGCTAAGAATAAAAGCAGCAGCGCTGCTACTTACTGATGTAGGACAAAGGGATCCGTGTCAAAGTGACCTTCCAGGAGCAAAGAGAGCTTTCTATCCTCCAAAAGTATTAAATTCTATTAATTTGGAAAGATCCATAGGACAGGGAGGAAAAATCAGTCATATATGCTGGTGTCAGCTAATACATCTGCTAAACTTAAGATAAAAAACATTTTTCAGGCAAAAAGTCCTTTTTTCACTAATACTCATTCCTCACACTGAAGGCAATGGGAGAGGAACTTATTTCAGATACACTGCTAGACAAGTCATTTTTTATATGCATGAATACCAATGACTAACCAGACAAATCTTTAAAAATACTAAGCAAAGTTAAGACTCGGGGTGCCTGGGTGGCTCAGTTAAGCATCTGACTTTTTTTTTTTAAAGATTTTATTTATTTATTTGACAGAGACAACGAGAGAGGGAACACAAGCAGGGGGAGTGGGAGAGGGAGAGAGCGAGAAGCAGGCTTCCCGCGGAGCAGGGAGCCCGACGCGGGGCTCGATCCCAAGACCCTGGGTTAATGACCTGAGCCGAAGGCAGATGCTTAATGACTGAGCCACTCAGGCGCCCCAAGCATCTGACTCTTGATCTTGGCTCAGGTCTTGATCTCAGGATCATGAGTTCAAGTCCTGCACTGGGCTTCGCACCCAGCAGGAGCCTACTTAAAAAAATAAAATATTAAGTAAAGTCAACATAAACAAGCACTTTACAGGCACTGAAAAACTGAAGACTGAGAACAATGTTGGCTTTATAGATTTATTTTCAAAGGAAAAAACAGACAGTTTAAATACAAGTCTAAACAGAATTACTCTGTCAAAGGCAGCAATAATGCCAAAACGCGTTCTCACTTCCAGACACTCGCCAGCATCTTCCGACTCCTCTCTCAGTGAAAAAAGGGGGTCTGGCAAAGACAAAGTTAGTTCAGTGTTTCTTTTTGGTGCACTGACTTTCAATGACTTGAAGTGCTCAATCCAGGGTAATCAAAATTACAGACACTTAATACAATGTTTATTAAAAAAAAAAAAAATCAACCACTTGATCATACTAGAGCCTGAAAAACAACAGCTAATGTCTACATACAGGCTTCTTTACCACGTGCTGTTAAGTAATTTGCATACACTGAATTTTACCTTCAGGAAAGCCTCAGGGAGGCCCTGTCATTATCCCCATTTTACATCTGAGGAAACAGGCACAGAGGCTAGGCGGCCTGCCCAAGATCACCAGACTTACAGATCCGGACAGAGTGGAGTATAAAGTCTGCTGTCTGACTCCAGAGTCCAGCCTCTTAACCAGGAGGCCTCTCCTGCCTGATTAAGAGGCCATCTCAGCTTCCAGGATAGCAGGCTGGGCTGACTTCGGGTGTGAAACCGAGGGCGGCAGAGGTCTCCGCTTCTGGGTTACCCTGCTCGGTGTTTTGTACAAGACTGCTTTTATGAGGAGGACAATCAAGGAAGTCCTGTCCAAAAATGAATTGTTCACGGCCCGTCTCAAGGATAAAGATGATCACTAAGGCCAGCCCCTCTGAGTGGCAGATAACCAGAGAGGACCTATGTCTTATAACCAGTGAAAATCTGTCAAGCATTTCCCAATGTTTCCACTTCTTCCTGAGTCTTACTTTATTGAAGAACTACAGAGAGGTTAATTCTATGGGAGGACATCATTCTGTAAGTTAAATGATTTACCTGATTTATTCATATACATCCTTCTTATCTGCAATGTAATCTACAATTTCTTGTGGACACATTAACTTCTCCGCATCTGTATCAGGAATTTCAAACCCTAAAAGTAAAATGTACAATGCATGAGTGTAGAAAAACAAATCCTTTAAAATTAAACACATCTCAAACTTCCTTACCACCCAACACGTACATCAAAATTTTCCAGCAACCCTGAATCCCATTTAAGTTATGGGCCAGTTATGTTCTAGACAAGTTATATTGGTATAACAGCTGGTTCTTTTTTTAAAAGCTGTAATTCATAGGATAGAAAATTCACCCATTTAAAGTATAAAATTCAGTGGTTTTTAGTGTATTCACAAGTTGTGCAACCATCACCATCATCTAATTCCAGGACATTTTCATGAACATGTTCCCATCCTACCCCTAACTGATACCATCCCTCTAGTGAGCATAATCTGTGAGGAATTTTAACTATGTTCTGCTCTGGAGGATAGCACAGAAGCCCCTTGGCTTTCATTCAGGCAACTTACCCAAAAACTGAGCCATGGACCCTTAAAAGGTCTCCTGTGCACAAGTGTCTGAGAAACAAGCATAACCTGGGAGTGTGCATGGGAGGCATGGCAGAAAACCAGGTCTGTGCGTGTGTGTGTACGTGTGTGTGTGTGTGTCCCGGGCACACCTAGTTACTTCTCTGGGCATGGCCATTCAGGGTGCTCAGGTGTGCTCAGCTTCTCCACAGGTGAGATTCTGCCTTCACCTTGGAGCCCCACGTAGAGCATCCAAATCCCATCCTCCCCCAGGCTGCTTCTGGTCACTCAGCCCTCGGCACCACACTGGGCCCTCCGCTGGCCCCACACCAAGTGTGTTCTAAGTGAGTGCACCATCCCTAGTATTGACTTCATCTGACAGAAAGCACGTGGGGGGGGGGGTGCTGTTTCTATTTCTGTATTTGATTCAAATTCCAGTTGTGACCCCCAGCATCTCTTCCACCTAAATCATGAATCACACTGTGCAGACCCCAGACTTAGCCCGTTACCAAATTCGTCCTCCATGGCCATGATAATTTCCACTTGGTCCAAACTGTCTAAGCCCAGGTCTTTCATAAAGTGGGAATTTACCGAGAGCTGCAAGAAAGGAACGCCAGACACAAAACTCAGTCCGTGACAGTTTTTGCTTCTCAAGATAACAGAGAGGTACAATGTCACTTAATCATTACATAGAAGATGCTTAATATAAAGAGGCCATATTTTAAATAAGAAGAGTGATAACCAGCATTTTATGTTTAACCTGTGCCAGCATATACTTAGTGTGCTTTATATGTTAACTTATTCAAGCTTCTTTTGAAAGGATTAACAATATACACAAAGCTAATGATGGATTTCACTTTATATATTTTATTAAGATCTTTGATCACTGCTTGGGAAAACTATCCTGGGGACAGAATGTACAACGTGGTGACCATACTAACGCTACACTGCATATTTGGAAGCTGCTAGGACAGTAATCCTAAAAATCTTCATCATAAGAAAAACGTTTCTATAATGATGTGTGGTGACGGATGTTAACCAGACTTACCGTGATCAATTCACAGTTTTTGGGGGGGTGGGGAAGAGAATCTTATACAGGCTCCATGCCTAGCACAAAGCCGGACACGGGGCTCGATCTCACAACCCTGAGATCATGACCTGAGCTGAAATCAAGAATCGGACACTTAACCGACTGAGACATGCAGGTGCACCCCCCTTTTTTTTCCAGTTCACAATATTACACAAATATCATTATGTTGTACACCTAAAACTAGTGTTATATGTCAATTAGACCTCAATAATAAAAACCCCACTGTCCTACCTACAGAGCAGATTCAATTATTACAGAAGGAATTTGTTTATGCACCTCTATGAGAAAAATGCCAGTGGTTAAGTTAAAAAAGGTGCAGAACAGTGTTTGCAGTATTCTACCACTTGTGTGTTTTTAAAAAGGAGAGTGGGGCGCCTCAGTGGCTCAGTCAGTTAAGCATCTGCCTTAGGCTCAGGTCATGATCCCAGGGTCCTCCCTGCTCAGCAGGGAGTCGGCTTCTCCCTCTCCCTCTGCCCATCCCCCCACCCCGCTTGTGCACACGCACTCTCTCTCAAATAAATCTTTAAAAATAAATAAAAGGGTAGGAGATAAAGGTCACACAGTACATAAAATATACGTACATATGTGAGTACACTTCCTTGCGAATGTATTGAGTATCTCTGGAAAGATAACGCGAGAAGCTGATTCCACTGGCTGCCTCCAAGAAGGGGAACCAGGTGGCTGGGAGTCAGGGAGACTTTTTACTCAATATCCTTTTGGACCCTCTGAATTCTGTACTGATTAAATACTCATTTAAAGAAAAAACATTAAGCCACATCGATTACCTTCTCTGGGTCAATCTTGTCATAAAGTTTCAAGACATAAAGAACACGGTCCCTGATCCCCTCTAACGTCAGAGGGGGTGCGTCACTGTACTGGCGGCACAACTGTGTCACTGGAACCTAGAACAAGGGCGGGAGAGTCGTTGAACCGAAGACGAATGCACGCTCGCTTACAGGCCCTTTTCAGAGCTTTTAGTGCTTCCCGAGAACCACCTCCTCTGATTCTAGCTGTAGCCATTAGGCCACCCAGAGTCACAGCACTGGGTTATTTTCAGAAGCCCTGGCAGTCCAGCAGCATAAAAAAGGGGCCTCCCATCCCCTCAGAGCCAGGACCTCCCCGCCCCCCCCCGCCCCGGCTCCTGCATTCAGCACTCCAGCTCTGGCCACTAGTCTGGCTCTGGGAGACAGGCTGCCGCTAAAATCATGTAGGGTCTGCAGATGAGTGTCTTCTTGTGGCACCTGCTGCAGCGCCTAGCCACTGTCACCTTTAATCGGCACACCTGAGTCAAGATGGCACACCCGGGAAGAGCTGTCATGGTGAACAAAGAGGCAGCTCCCTGGAGGAGCACACACGGGAAGGTCCAATATGGCCACTGACCTCAGCCAGGACAAATGAGCCAGCTACCAACCCCCACACGAGGGAGCCCGACAGACCTCATGGTCCAATCTGTTTCCCTTCGGGGGAGGCTTGTCTTATTGCCACCAGCCAAACCATGAGCCTTTCTGAGTTTTGCCATGACGGGAGTAATATCTCAAATGTCTGTGATACTAGCCTACTTGATAATCAACTAGGTATTGGGGTGTTGGCTGGATTCTTTCACCAAATATGGAAGGAACTCCAACTTAGAGCTCAGCAGGCTTAATGCCATGGAAGGTACAATACAGAACAAGAGGAAACAAAACAGCTGTCTGACAGTTCTGCTCACTGCAGAAGTCCCTAATCTGAACTGGTTTGTTTACCTTCTAAAGGTGATGTTAAGTCTGGAGTTCTTAAGTAAGTTAATTTGGAGTTCTTACAGCATTTCCCCTTAGAAAGTGGGTTTGCATGGTCCCTTGAGACTGACAAAGGTCTATGAAAATCATAATAAAAAACACTGCCTAATGAACGAAATCTGTATACACCTGTTTAAGAAATATTTATCTTCAAAAAAAAAAAATCAGGTACTGAAATCAGGTTTAATCAGCAAGCTATAGAGAGATTAGATGAAGAGCTTTATGGATATTCTAAAGGATTTCTAAGTGCTTTCGGAGTTGAAGAGCACTGGTTCTTTTCTGTCTCTATGTGTGTAGCGTCCTTTCATTTCCGACTGCAGCATGGGTTAAGGAGACCTCTGCTACGGAAACATCTCCAGGCCTACTTATCCACAATCACTAGAAGTCTCCAAGCCACAAGTAAAATGAAACAGCGGAAGGCAAAGAGACAGAGGGAGGAACAATGAGTTAAGTGGTGATGACAGGAAAGAAGTTTGAGTGGGAAGGATCTAACAGAGGCCTTGTCTGTGTGCACATCAAGAAGTGGTATGAGGGGGGATTACTGCTGAGGAGAAAGAGAAAACAGGACCTTCGCTGCAGAGCCCACGAGGAAGGATGAGGCTGGGGATGGCACATGGGACACGACTACCCAAGTGGCCCACTAGGGGTCAGCACCATCCCCAGCCACACCAGCAGGTGCCCAAACTTGGGCCAGTGGGCACCACGCGGAGAAATTAAAGGGGTCTCCACGTGGAGAGCACAGGCCAGTCCGAAGTGGGGGGCTCCAGTGGGCTCAGCACGGGGCAGGCAGGTCTAGTGGGTGACAGCTCCGACTCTGGAATAAGACCGCCTACATCTGTGCCCTGGCACTAGCTTTCTTACTAGCTGTGTGGCCTCGGGCAAGTTACTTAACCCTCCAGTGTCACAGTTTCCATATTTGTAAAATGGGGATAAGCAACAGGACAAAGCTCACAGCACCGCTGTGAGGCGTCACTGAGGGAATGTGAAGGACTCTGAACACGGCCAGGCACATCCACAGTGAGTGCTGCTGAGGGCTGTCTAGGAGGATTGGGCTCTGAGACTCTGGCGGTAGTGTGGCCCCAAGGTACTTGATCCCACTCCTTCCCTCTCAAGCCTCTCCTCCTGGTCTCCTTACACACTTCTTATCATCAGTCAGACTATGGCGCGGCACTGGGCACTTTACAAACCATCACCTCCTTTAGTTCTGACATCAGTCCCATTTTACAGACAGGAAACAGGAGACAGAGAAAGGTATCCCGCCCCAGGCCTCCCAGCGTGGCCTCTGGGGAGGGCCTTACTGCCTCCTTCCTGCTGGATCTCAGCTGTTTAAAAAAAAAAAGAGGAGGCACGGAAAACAGGCAAGCAGCTCAGCAGTGTCCCCGACAGTCAACAATGTTTCTGGTGGTGTTTTTCCCCAAGATCCACACTTAACAATTCTATGTGACACAAGTCACTTCCCACAGCCATCAGAGAAGGCACTGTGTGCAGAAGAATGACTACCCACTAGACTAGTAGAAACCAATAGCCTGGTTCCTCCATCGAAACGCATCTGTATCCACTCAGGTACATCTCTGACTAAGGGAAACTGAGGAATCTCAGTTTAAAGCTCAGGAGGCAGCTTTTTTTCTTTTTTTTTTTTTTTAAGATTTTATTTGAGAGCAAGCGAGAGAGAGCGGGGCTTTGAGCGGGGCTTTATGCGGAGCTTGATCCCAGGGCCCCCGGATCATGACCTGAGCCGAAGCTTAACCAACTGAGCCACCCAAGCGCCCCCAGGAGGCAGCTTTAAAGGCCAGCTCTACCAGGTGCCCCTGGACGGCTCCACTCTGGTAGCCGACATCTCGGTGTCAGTTTGGAAATAAATTCCTTACCTGTCTTCCAAAATGCCTGCCTGTAGACCTCTATTCCTTGTCAGCCACCTGGCGCTCTGGCCAGACACCTGAGAGCCTACCCCCACTCTTCCCACTGTCTCACCATCCATGTTTACTGGGCCACCCAGCCTGGCTGATTGGGAGGAAAGATCTCACTTATTCAACCAACCTTGTTGCATATTCACTCCCTGCAACCTAAACAGAACATCCACATTCCTCAGCACCCTTCACAACATGCCTACGTCTTTATCTCAACTCAGGTCTCTCCATTCCACAGGCACCCTGAGGGTCAACCGTAAGAGTGCTGGGCTCTCCTGGCCTCTGCACATGCTGTCACACCCTGCCCTTTGAGACTGTGCTCACCGGGGGCGCTGGTTAGGTCCCTCCTCTGTGCTGTGCACACACCTGTCCTCACGTGTGGCTATGTCTTGTCTTCATACACAGGACTGTCTCAGCAGCCTATGAGCTCTACCTCCTGTACCGAGCACTGTGCTGTGGGTTGGAACTACAAAGATAAATAAAACATGACCGCTACCCTCAGAGAAGCTTATGGTCTAATGGAAAAGATCGAGCCAAATAGATTATTTAAGTTGTAATAAAAATGTGGCAAGAGAGGTGCCTGGGTGGTTCAGTGGGTTAAGCGTCTGCCTTTGCCTCGGGCCATGATCCCAGGGTCCTGTGATCGAGCCTCATGGCCTCATGGCCGGCTCCCTGCTCAGCAGGGAGTCTGCTTCTCCATCTCCCTTTGCCCCTCCCCCCGCTCATGTCTCTCTCAAATAAATAAATAAAATCTTAAAAAAAAAAAAAATGTGGCAAGAGCTACGACAGACGTATTTGTAAGCTGCTTCCTGAACAAGAGCTGTCATTCAGTCCTTGACAGGCAAGGAAGAAAGAGATACCAAACTTGGAGTTAGCCCTGGAAGGACAAGGACATCCAAGGAGGGAAGGCCAGGCCAAGAAAATGAGGCATGGGAGTGTAGTGGGTCTGTGTGGGAAGAAATGACTTCATGTTGCTGGAGACTGAAGGTTAAGGTGGGACACAGGCTCTGAGGCTCAAGAGGCAGGGCCCAGGGCTGCAGACACCTGAAAAAGACAAAACAGCTGAGCACTCCCTGCACGAGCGTTTTGCCTTCATCTGGGTGCCGTGCCCCACAGCACTCTTCGGAAGTCTTCTTTGTGCTCTGGCTTTGAGACAGTTCAGATATGGGGCCTGCTTGGGTCAAGTACAAGACTTCCAGGTTACATTCTAGGCCACTACCCTTGTTTTTCTTACCTTCTGTTTTATACTGTCTCGTTATTTTTATATCCAGGAGAACTGCTTTAGCTCCTTTTGGGAGGGTAAAGAGTTGGAATATAAATGAAGAACTAGTTGCCCTGGAGTCAGCAAAGTGGATGGATCTGAGGAGAAAAAATCTAATGGAACAGAATGGGTGGAGTGAGCAATAGTCCCAATGAAATGAGCAAGGGCTGGAGGTGGAAGTTTGGGGTAACTGGGAAACAGGCAATAGCAAAAACCAAGAGAGTGAAGACACAGACAAGAAAGAGAGTGTGGTAAGAGATCTTTGGAACTTACCAACATTTAAGGATTAGACAAAGTGCCAAAGGGTAGGAGCAGAGAGGTAGAGGGAAAGAACGAACCAAGACAGTGTAGAACGGCCTCGGGAACACAGCAGCAGGGAATGAGCTGGCACATTTAACATGAGGCTGCAGCATCCAATGAGATACTAACTAGTGTCTTTCTTTTATATGTATCTCTAAACCCTTCACCTAGAATAAGGTCTGGGAGCCCACTGGAAATGAAGCCTCTTGGGCCCCTTCCCAGAATCTGTATTTTAACCCAAGGGATCTATAACAATCAAGTCTGAGAATCAGTGCTCTATGAATAAGGACAATCACTTTGCATTTTAGCTTAATGTGGAAATCAGTCTCAGGAAAAAAACACTTGGCAACTCTATATAATGCCCTCTTAACTTCAGGGTGACACTGTTAACCTTTTGATTCAGGCAATGGGGCTAGTGCCCTATGAATTAATCCATTGCATTGTCAGTAAATCTCAACCCTAGCCACACAAAATAATCACTTGGTGAGTTCTAAAAACAGACACCCAGACACCCCAGCTCTAGAGACAATGACTAATTTGACCTGGGCATCCTTATGTTTTATTCTAAATGTAGTCAATACCGAAATACTGAAACCACTATTAAGTTCACAGGTTTGGGGGGGGGGTTCCTCAACTTGGCCTTGAGAGTCTATTCTACATTAAGGCAGTAGTTCTTGATCTTGGCCAAACCCTTTAATCATCTGGGGAACTTAAATGAAAACCCATGCCAGGGCCTCACTCAGAGAAGTAAATCAAAAGGGGGGTTGGGCAAGGGATTTTTCCCCCTCTTTTAAGCTGCTCAGGTGATTTGAATGTGCAACTAGGGTTGAAAACCACTGCCCAAACCAAAATTTCTGCCTCACAAAGGTTTCCTCGGACAGAAAGGCTAGATACTACTTTCTTCCTATCTTTACTTCCAAGAGGCCTGTAAACAGGCAGAAGGGACTAGGGAGAAATCCTGGACGCAGACTGGTCTGGAGAAGGTTGTAGGCCAGTGTGGCTTCTCTTTTGTACTCTGTCATCAGTTTTCCCCTAGAAAGCTATCACAACATTTGTCATTATCACCACGACTAACGGAATTTACCAAGCACCCCAACTAGGTGCTCTCAAAACCTTGTTGCACCTCCACGAAGTAGAGCCTAGTACCCCAACTTTGCCGTTCAGACCGACAGTACTGAGGTCACGAGACTGGCCCAAAGTTTCGGAAAGTGGCAGCCAGCATTCGAACCCAGGGGTGTTTGACTGGAAGGTGTGCGCCCCGGCTCGTTAGCACTAGGTCATCTGGGCTCCCAGCAGGGGTCAACCAAGCACCGTGAGGGAGTGGGATGGGCGGAGAGCCAGATGTCTACCAGTCACCCCAGCCGCGGCAGGCGTGGCCCCGCTGCCTGGCCCCTCCCCCCTACCCCGATCCCTGACCCCTGCCAAGCCCCAGCAAAGTCACCGCGAGTCACCTGCGCGAGCACCGAGGCTGGCTGCGGAGCCCCAGGCCTCGTCCGGGCCCCCGCGGGGCACAGGGTGATGCTGAGCGGCCGGGCCGCGGCCAACGTGGGAAGCCGTGGCAGCGGCGCGAAGGCCGCGGGCAGTCGGCGGACACAAGCGGAAAGGACACGAGACGCCATGGCTACGCCGACCCAGGATGCACTGCGCCGCGCCCTCCGGCCCAGTTTCCTCTCCGAGGGGTGCATGGGACGCACAGAGCGGCGCAGGCGGACGCTGCTGGCGGTAGCGGCCCCTAGCGGCTCCTGGCGGCACTGCTCCCTC